TTTTTCGTTTTATTTTTTCATATTTAATTTCAATTCGCAGAAGAATAACTGGTGCAAAAAAATTGATACAGTTGTTTGGAATTTGATACACTTTATCTATAGGGTACAGTAAAATATTTAGAATTTTGTTAAGGTTTGATAGATATTTATAATCATATTTCTTCTTTAAAAACAAATTCTATTTTTTTTTTTAAATTATTTTAAAATATAAAAAATATTTTTTACAATTGTGTCGAGGATTAAAAGGTTATAAATTTAGCCCTGGTACATATAAAATTAAAATGGATAAATAGAAAAAGATTAAATGAAACGTAAAAGATAGAGTGAAAGGAGAACATGATAAAATGAACTTCATTGACAATTATGATTTATATTTGTCGACTTACACAAAGTTTCAATTTAATTGATTCTTTGAATTCAACCAACTCAAACCCCCGACCATTCTGAAAAACTTTTAATTTTTTTTTTCATAATTGCATTCCCTAGTCCATAAAAATTGTCTTAATTTTCAAATCTACATTCAGCATTACTTTTAGGCCTTATCAGTAAAATTTTCCAATATCATAAAACTCGATTTTTACTGTTCCCCTAACTCCCCTAACAACATGACGTAACAAGTTTGAAACCGAAGACCGCAAAATGCATGTGCCAAAAAATCAAACAGAGTTTTGCACAATAAACCGAATACACAATTATCATTATTTTAACCAAACCGTAATGACCACTCATATAAATCTAGATCAATTGAAATCACAAAGGTTAAAACTATTCAATTATTTGCATGCATTTTCATTGCTTTTAATTTTTCAACAGCTATGCGTACATAGGATTTTAGACAAGGGGTGGGGGTGGTGGGGGCAAGGGCGTATACAGGGGGGGCATGGGGGGCAGTGCCCCCCCCTAGACTTGTAAAGGGGGGGGGGCCTAGAATTCTGCAATAATAAAATAAAATGTCGATTTTTTAGAAACAATGTTTTTTTCTGCTAGTTTTGTTTGAAGGAGAGATAAAGTAGTGCTTAGAAGGTAATTATTTGGACTGTATGTGTGCCTTTTAAGTATCTTATACTTATGCCTGATATCCAAGAAGCCAAGTGTTATGAATTTACAGTTCGAATTTTGCCCCCCCCCTAGGAGCTCCTAGGGGGGGGCAAAAAATTTTTTTGCGCTTCGCGAAAATCTTGCCCCCCTAGATTTATTTCTGTATACGCCCTTGGGTGGGGGCAAGATTTCCAACAAATTCTTTTGGGATGCAGGGCAGTAAAAAAATGTAAGTCGGTTTTAAAAATTGAATATAGTCTAAAGCTTTTGTTATTCATGCTGCAGATCTTTTACAGATTAACCCTTTTTATCCTGGGGTGAGGGGGGTCAATTTAACCTTATCTTTTTTTTGCGATAACTCAAAAAGTATTTAAGCTAGGAAGCTCAAATTTTCTGACTTTCTAACTAACACATCACTACATACTGCCTGAGTCCTTAGAACTACTGCCTAAATGCCTTATTTTACCCATACCAGACTAAATCTATATTTAGACCTATTTCTAGTCATCAGTTTTCAACATTTTATATTTCTTTGAAAAGCATATAACAAAATTTTGAACAGGTTTTTGCACAGGCGCCTTTAAAGGAAATTTGTACATTTTCAGTTTTTTTAATACACATTAGGTTTCAAAAATTTTGCAAATGTTTTTCCACATATGAATTCGCTTAATCAAGGGCTTTTCAAAAATATATGATTTGTTGCAATTTGCGAGAACAATTTTTTTTGCTGAATAAATAGATTTCACAATAAATATTTTGATTTTTACATATTTGCTTTTCTTTTGAAGTAGATTATTGAAGTAGAGCCCAAGGGCTTTCCAAAAATATATCAAATGTTATAGATTTGCATCACAATAAGAAAATAGAGGGGGGGGGTCAATTTGATTCCCCCCTCCCGGGAACAAGTCATGAAACCAGACGTCAGGAAAAATAGGGTTAAACGCCCTTGAAAAATGGAGATAAGAATATGTGCCAACTTATAGGATGCATATTCAGTTTAAAACTTTTTTTCCCGGTTTCAAGGGGGGAGAACTGCTAGAGGGGTGAACCGAAAAAAAAATTTCGCCTAAAGTTTCCCGTCCCCCACCCCCTCCAGGAAAAACCCTCAGTACACCCCTGGGGGTGGGGGTTCTAGGGGATGTCCCCCACCCCTTCCTCCCTCCAATTTTAATCCTGTTTACGTCCATATATGCAAAAATTAATTGTATAATTCTTTAATGGCCCTTTTTCAAATGCAACACTTGAAGTTACAATCCTGAATCCCCTTTGTTCTGTGCATACAAAAGTAGAGTACATAGTGTACAAATGTACTCAAAACTGGTTTAGTCAGACTCAGCGTCAGCTCTGCCTGTATACAGCTGTTGTAGTTATGCACACTTGACTCACGGGCTTTAACGTTCACTGGAAAGGGCACGGGTATTTATTGGTCAATTTATGCCTGATGGATTCTGGAACCTGCGCTGCATGCTATGAAGTTTAATTGTTGATAAAAAAATTGTCACATTAAAAATTTTAACAAAGTAAAGATCTGCTTGTTTACGACGTTTTAATTTGTTAAATACACAATGAATTCTTAGTCGATTAGATATAAAATGTACGACGTGGCTGAAGCTTGGGCGAGATTCAAGGAACAGGATCCATTAATTTCACAGCAATCAGGTTTAATTATGTTTTGTGAAGGGAATTATAGGTTTAATAGTTTAAACTTTAAAATCCGAGAAATACTGTAAAACGTTCAAAGATATGTCGGAATTTGGTTAAAAATAATATATTTATCTTGGGTTGAAATAATTTATTTATCCAAGGCTTAGTGGAAATCATTTATTCATCTAGGGTTGGGGTCTGTCCTAGTATACGATTTTTGGACCCCCCCCCCGGCCCCCCCCTCCTATCAATTTTTTGTACATGACCATTTATTTTTCAGCAAATTTATTATTATTAATTTTTTTGTTATTTAGGGTTAGGTTAGGTTAAGATCCCCCCTGCATCCGGTCATCATCTTCCAAATTTTCTGTTTTCTACTGTCTTTTCTGTTGCATAAATAATATCAGAAAGCAGTGAAATATAAGATGGCATTTTTTTAACAATTACAAAATAAAAAATCCTAAACCAAAATTTCTTGATTTAGCAAGAAAACCAGATCATAACCAGATCATAACCGGAATATAACCAAATCATAACCAAATCATAACCAAATCATGGATCATATCTAGATCACAATCGGATCATAACCAGATCATAACCAGATCATGACCAGATCATAACCAGATCATAACCAGATCATAACCAGATCATAACCATATCATAACCATATCATAACCAGATCATAACCAGATCATAACCAGATCATAACCAGATCATAACCAGATCATAACCAGATCATAACCAGATCATAACCAGATCATAACCAGATCATAACCAGATCATAACCAGATCATAACCAGATCATAACCAGATCATAACCAGATCATAACCAGATCATAACCAGATTATAACCAGATTATAACCAGATCATAACCAGAATATACCCAGATCATAACCAAATTATAACCAGTCAAAATAAGATTTTATGCATAGGAGAGAGGAGAACGAAAAGGGAAGGAGACATGTGATTAACAAATTGCATATTTGTGGTTACAATCTGTTAATTAGTTCAGTTATAGCTTCTTTTATTTACTGTTATATCTAGTCAGAATCCAGGATTTATTTTGATGCATCATTAATCATGTATATGCAGGAGGGAGAATCAATTACTTGTAGTCGATCATCAAACATGATAATTGTTTTTCAACCCTATGATTACACTTCATATTATCTAGCTTCCTAGAGATTGTATTTTTAGATTATGCAATTAAACTTTTCTATCTGATTGTATGTATAATGCGATGCATGTATGATTGTCATAATTTTGTCGTGTCATTAATTAGGCCCCCATTAAGATTTTGTTGAGATAAGTAAGTGCGATACTACATATATGGTGACCTACATCAATTCTGATCGTTTTTGGCTCTATTGCGTTTTTCGAGACTAATCAGAAAATTTAGAAAGAATAAATTAATTAACAGAATTGTGGAAGTCAAATATAAAAAATTTAATGCAGAAAACACTTGATTTTTTGTGTATTATGTGCGTATTTCAACGTTAACCCTTGGAGATACTCCTATATGATATGTTATATGATATGTTACTGGACCAACTTTAAAATGCCAAATCACAAAACTAAAATATACCTCTTACTTTAATGGTTGGGTAGAGTCTTTTCAGCGTACTCTACCCTTCTATATGCATTATGCACGCCCCTACTAAGATTTATTCACAGTAATTAAAGGGAGTGTTCGCGAAAAATGAAAGGGGGTAAAGGCTTAATGCGATAAAAAAGCGTTTTTGATCGCTACTAATCTTCTATCTGTTGCGTCTTTATGGAGAAAAATGTTGAAAACAACTCACACCGAAGAACGACAAATTCGGAAAATTTTCTAAACGTATTCTTAATAAATAAGATTAAATTTTTATCCTTTGAGGGTAACTCTAGGATAGAAGGGAAGATTTAACAAACCTGAATTTTAGAATCAATTAAAAAAAATCTTTAAATGTAAAATCTTGTTTTGTTAGAAACCTTGTTTTATTAAAAACTTCATGGATTATAAAATTAACTGTTCAGATTGGTTAGTTAGTAGAAATAGGGGGGAGGGTATTTAAAAGGAATTATTGTGACCTTCCATTTAAAAAGTGGGGTATGCTCAATTCACACCTCTTTTAACCTTTATCTGATAAATAATGTGGAAGATATCGTCGTTGTAAAAGATTCAAAAATGTCACTTATTCAGAGCACTCACAAAATAATTATTTTTTTAACAGTTAAACATTGACATATCCTTAATCCTTTTCAGAAAAACCTGTAAGGGGTGTAGTTGTGAATCTTAAATGCCATTCTATAAATAGAGAGTCACCACAGTTAATTAAGTGGAAATATTTCAGGTTCCAAAGGATAGTGTTGTAAGTGTTCACTACACTGTAGAAATAGAAAATAGTCTGGACCCAGCAGACAGTACTGTACATCGGAAGGAACCTTTGAAAGTGGACATGCAAGAAGGTGACACAATTTTGTTTTGATCTTTTTTGCACTGTGCGTGCAATGGGCATATGAAAGTGGACATTTTTAGAGGAAAAGTTCAATTTCTTTTTATAAGGTGTACAGCAAATGCAGGAAGGTATGACAGTTTTTTCCGTCCAATATTTCTTTCCATTTTTGCTACAGGGTGTCCCAATCTTTCTTTCAATCTGTGGTTTCATTGACATTATTTAAAGTCGTCGTCTTGTTCTTGTTATGTTTAGTGGGACAAATTTTGTCTCTCCTTGAGTTGGCCGGAACATTTGCAAATGCGCGCACTTAATCTGCAATACTATACTTCATTAAGTGTCCATTTATATTTTATTTGCCATCAGTCATTAACGTAACGGTATGAGTTCACGTGCCAATACGGATAACGTGCCAGTATGAATTGAATAACGTGCCAGTAAAAATTAACATTTCAAAGAATATTTTTTAGGAGGAATATTAAAAGGCATGAAGCTTGGTATACAGAGTATGACCAAGAGGGAGATTGCCGTTTTCATCATACGTCATGAATATGCTTATGGTTCAAAGGTAGGGAGATTGCAGTATTAATCTCTATTCATAAATAATCTTGTATTTTGCGCAACTTGTTCCAACTTTTAATGTTACTGTGATTGCAACTGATTTAATATAAAAAATAACTATTAACTAAGTAAAATATATTGCATTTTTTTCTGTTTTCTTCGGTGGAATTCCAAAAAAAATTCAAATAAAAATCGGGCCATATTGTTACCAACAATCAAGCAGACAAGTCAAAAATAAATATGGAAATTATTACAGCAAAAAGGACAGAAAAAATAAATATTGATGTCTGAGTTTGTGACTTTTAGTGCAAAAATAATATATTTTAAACTAAGGAGAATTGAATAGAAGGAGGGGGCGATAGGGTTTCCGTACAATTTGCTGTGACGTTTTTTGGACTGCTGAAGAACTAGTTTTTGCGTAACAACAATAATAAAGATTGTAAACAATAACACAAATGATAAACAGACATATAGCGCATCTCTGGCGTTAGATGAAGATTCACCGTATACTAACTCGTGTTTGTTTACATTAGATCGGCTGCCTTTGTTATTGTTGTTACGCAAAAACTTGTTCTTCGGCAGTCCAACGAGGGAGGGAGTCCAGAGTTCCTCAAATAGTAATCACCGCCACCCAAATCTGTTTTGCTGCAAGCGCGCTCCTCAATTGATAATCTCCACCACCTCAAATAGTAATCAGCCCAAAAAAGCATAAAATCAAATCGTTTATTTCTTAGAAATAAGACCATATTGACCTCTTTTAATGGCCCTATGGTGTACAATTTTGTCAAAGCTTTCTTTATTGCTCCTTAGTTTCGAAAATAAATCAATAAATATGCCACACTAAGTGCTAGAAATATATTACGTTTTTTAGTTTCAAGTTTCGCTTTAAGAATGTTTGCGGCATTTTCCTCTGAATGTTGTTTTAAACTCCTTATATAGAGAGGAAACTTTAACCCATTATTAGTGGACTAAATACTTCATTTTCAGTAGTTGGTGTGATGAGACTAATTTTTCAAAATTTTAAGTCCTTTCTATGCATATAATTAGTTTTGTTGTAGATGTTGAACTCGAGTTGGCGAATACAAAAATCTAAACACTGTAAAGTTTTTTTGAAAATATCTTTTAAATGGAGATGGATATTACTTTGGGCGCGATGAGATCATTTTTAGTAAACAGGCAGCCCGACCTTTTTTGTATCTTGACGCCAATCATGAAATGCAGTCATTAAAGTGGCGAATTGGATCTAAGATTCGGCTAAAATGAACTGTGCCTTAATTCTCAGTTTTTGTTGACCAAACAAATCTGAAAATAATTTGAAAATTTAGTTTAAGTCAATACAGATGCCATAAAACCCCGATAGATGTCGAAAATTGTGTTAAAAGTGCATTAAATTCAAATCACAGAAAACAAAATTTTACGGTGATTACTAATACAGATTTGGGTGGCGGTGATTACTATTTGAGGAACTCTGGACTCCCTCCCTCGTCCAACAGTAAAGTGTACGAAAACCCTATCGCCCCCTCCTTCTATTCAATTCTCCTTGTTTTAAACTATGATTTTTGGAGCCTTTTCCTTCTGCCCTGCTCACTGCTCAGGAATAATAAGTTTGGTTAAAATCCACAATCTTTGTCTTAGTTTGTAAGTAAAGTTCTTTATATGTTACATAAGAAGGTTAACTATTTCCAGTTCAACCTCCCAAAACCTAAATCGGCAGAAATTGTCGGTATCAGAAAAAATTTAGAAACTTATAATTTTTAACTTGTATTAAATGGTTAGAATTGACAGGCATCTTGTTTTATCAAATGGGGTACATAAAATTGATATTAGTAAATTCTTACTTATAAAAAGATCAGGGGTGTATATTATTTGTGAGATTCATATTTTTGCCCCCCCCCTTAAAAATTATATTTTTTTATCCAAACCCACAACTTAAAAACAGGTATATTTTACAGGTTTCCGAAGCCCGCATAAACTTCGAAGAAGTTTTTCTGTGACGGGGTGGGTGCAGGGGGGGGTTGAGCCCCCCTTTGCAAAGAAAATTTTTGGATTTAAATAGGGGCAAACATAAAAATATACACCCTTGACAAAGATTTAATTAGATCATCTGTTATACTATATGTAAATGATATTGTAATTTCATCACAATTCACTGGATCACACGTCACTGGATCGTTCGTCGCCATGAAAAAATGCATTAAAAAATCCTGAAAAGAAAGAAATCCAACTAAAATCATGACAAATTCAACAAAAAAATTATAAAATCTTTTTTTATCTAGGGAATAGCTCCTAGGATCCCTCCCTGTGCTCTGGTTATGGTGACCCTTGAGGTTCTAGACTTTTATAAACATGGGACTGCTGAAAATGTTTTAGGTGAGATACATTCTTCCACCAAAGGAGTAAACCAAAGTAAACGTTAATAAGTTTGTGTTCAAGTGAGACCCGTAAAATTGTGAAAGAAGAAGACAACATTGATTAATCTTATGAGTGTTTGATTATTTAGTTTAATTTAATCCATCAATAGCTTGAAAATTTAACTATGATCTTAAATCTTCATGGTAGAAACAATGTCAAGAACTGACAAGGCCACCCAACCCATAGACATTGATAGAAATTCAGCCAACTCATCTCACGAAACCTTGGTTCCAAGAGGAAGTGGGGTTCATACAGTACACATACTTTCACTCAAAATGTAAACAAAAAATAAGAAATTAAACAAAAGAAGCGCTGAAAAAAAACTTGTTTTTAATAATACGTACACAAACAATCCCAATTTTTCTAAAATTGTTCAGTTTTGCTTAGCTTGCACTCTGTACTCAGTACACAGAACCTCTTTAAATATTTATAAATGTATTTTTAATAAGAAGTGGAACTAACATTTACTTATTTCACTCCATGAGCTTTGGTGGATCATCATCACTATGAAATAGCCCCTGTTGATAATTGGAATTCTGGGTTTCATGTTTATTTGAAAACTAACATTATAACTGAAGCTTCACTTTTCCACAAAGGTCCCCTCTGGTCTAAGGAGGGGGAAGGGTGGGGAGTTAAGAACATCTAAAAATTTTAAAAAATGAAAATTTAAAGATTTGAATCAAGGAAATAGTCTATTTCTAAAATAGATTGTTAGATTGCATTTTAGTAAACTTCATATTGAAAAATAAATATAAAAGAAAGATTTTCAATCTAAGTCATACAAAAATAGTCAACAATCCTGATCTTAATATTGAAATTCCTTAGGTTTAGAAAAAATATCTTATAAGGGTTATATATTGGAAAATAGTCCCCCCACACCCACCCACCCGATGTTAATTATGTTTTTCGTATCTCAAAAAATATATTGGCTAAAAATACTAAACTACAATCAACGTTGAAGGCTTGCATTCATACTTTAACGCTTTATTACCCATGGAGAATGGAGGTTTTTACCTAACTTGATTCAGATTTTGCTACTGATAGCTATTAATATACTCCTTAACAACAAGCCTGGTTAGCAGTTACTATCCAAACCTGTCGGAAAGAGATACATTTTTTCGATTGCATCTGGTTCTATTTGTAAGCATCAAGATGTCAGTTCCATGCTTGAGTGTCTGTTCGAGATGAATCTTACAAGAATTCTTCAAAAATATCCACTCCTTGCCTAACTTTTCTTTTGCCATTTATCTTTATAATAGCAGAATTCCGACAATGGATCCTAACAATTTTGAAACCCAGCTCAGCTTGAATTTTGAATCAGTGATTCTAGATTTGAACTGGCCATAGGGTTTGGTTGTTCAGCGACCTGGCTCAAATCCATTGAAGTCGGACCCGAACAACAAATCATTGATTTTTGAAAAGATATATCCCTGTCTGCTTTAATAATATTCAAACTGTTTTGATAACTGAGATTTAGTTTCAAAATATCTTTGTTGTTTTAACTGATGCATTGCACAAACCCTGGAAAAGAAAACCAGAATAGAATATTTTAAATAACTTTAAGAAAGAATTTTTTAAAATTAAGACTAAGATTTTCAGAGGTTATACATGAATATTGGGATAAGAAAGAAAAAATCTGTTATCTAAAACTGAATCTAAAACTAAAGAATGGGCGAATTTTAAGTTCAAGGTTAAAAATTCTGTAAAATAATGAATAGCTACTTAAATATTAAACTTTCTCAATTTCAAATTTGAATTTGCCGGGAAAATCTGAACCAATCAGAGAAAAGGATTTACGGAGAATATTACATAACCATCGCTAATCAGCTGTTATTACGTAACTGAAAACAAAATATATTACGAGTTACAACCGTTTTTTGGGTTTACATGCAAAAATTAATTTATCTAAAACGTGAAATTACTTCACAAGGTTTTCACTTTTAAATATATCGTAAAGTTAAATACCGCTTTCTCAGCTGAATGATGATTGAATAAAAGACAAATAGGGAAAATGCAGGATTTGAAGATTTTAACCCTGTGTTAAAATTTTAACTCGTCGATTTCAATGAGTTAAATATTTAACCACAGGGTTAAATATTTAAATATTTAACCTCATGGTTAAAGTTCAGGTTTAAATTAGGTCAGAAGTGGCATTTAACCATGAACTTAAAATTTAAGTCAGAAATTTTCGTTCTTTAGTTTTAGACTCTGAAAGTGTTATTCTTTCTTATCCTGACCCAATTCAATTTTTGACGTTAAGTTTTAAGGTCGCAATTTTCTATCATAAGTTTTCTGTTTAATTATTGAGAAATTTAGAAACCCAATTACTATTTTTAGAAATCATTAAATTTGCTTATTAAATATTTTTCCATATGCATTAGTAAGAAATAGGAGAATTAAAATCATAATTGATAGTTTTATTGATTTCATTATTATTTTATCCCCCACGGTTGGTTATTTCGTTGAACAGGAGATTAATCGATAAATTACTACTTAACCAGGAGTTTTCATGAGGATAAATAAATTGAGGGGAAAACCACTTAGCCAAGGGCCTCCAAGACCTTTTTGGGGTTCTAAACCTCACTTAATCTCCTGGTTAAGTAGTAATTAATAGTTATAGGTTTTTAAAAAATAGAACTGAAAAGGAAATTTTATGAATTAATTTTTTTAACAAAGAAAATTGATAATAAAGTTTTGGGCCTAATTGTTGCGCATTATTTTAAATACAATTTCCCCCTTAAATTTGGATTCTCTTAATTACTATAAAACCGTTTTATTATAAAAAATAGTCTAAATATTGAAAGCAGTTCCGAGGATCTGGATCTGTTGTATCTAAATACATATTCATCTAAAAACCAGAAGTACCTTTTTATTCCTGTAAATTTTAGTATGCATTTTCTTTTTTCTCTTTTTTTTACTCATAAGTAGAATTATTTAAGGGGTATTCCATAACTTCTTTACTTTATTTTGTTAATGAAAAACTTAAACTTTTTTTTTTTCTCGTTTTTTTAAAGTCGAATTAAATTTGAAAAGTTACCAATAGCACTATTTGCTTACTTACAATATCAAATATACTGAAGCAATGCTTCGATATCGTCTTCCTTTTCCATAGTGTCTCGCTCTCACTTAAGTTTTTCCTAAAAAAGTCGAGCTAATTAATTTAAAACTTTTAAGCCAAGCTTAGACCATTCTTGTGATTCTACCGAGTTCCCTGATCAAAATTTGAGGCAAATCGGTCAAGGGGTTCTTAAGTTATAATCGTACATACATTCTTACAGAGATTATATCTATTTATATATATGAAGAAAGAAAAGATTGAGAACAATATTATAATTTGTACTTAGTAATTAAAAAAACAAACAAATACCTTTTAACTAGAAAAAGGTTATAAACAAATTAAACATGTTATGTACTCCTCTTCCTAAAATTACTAAATTAAAACCTCTCAAGTATTAGATTTATATCCTATTTCAGCATTTGATCTACCTGGAAATTGTTATCGTCCTTGTTTAATGATATACCAAGTAAGTCTTATAATTAAAATTGATATCGTTCTTTCATTTTAATGCCTCGTAATATTTTTTCGTTTTTAATTTCGCTGAACTACTTTTAGGGGCTTTGGTTTTCATTTCCCCCCATTCCAACATGATATCCTTAAAACCAAATCAATAATTTAGTAGCTATTATCGTATCTTTAGCTTCACCAAATCACTTCTATAGAGCATCCGAAATTGAAAATCTGAAATGCCACTCTATAGATGAAAATTCCCAGGAAATTACGACTTTAATTATCTTAAAAATTGGTGTTTATGATGCTCCAAACCTCTCAGAGTAAATAGGTGTTAGTTCCACATTTTTAAAAATCTAGTTTGGTCTGGGTGGACCCTCTTCAGTTTTTACGATATATTAACCATAAAAATCGATATAAAAAATGTTAAAAAATCGTAAGAAAGTAAACAAAACAAAAACTTGATAAAAACAAGAAAATTGGTTGTCAATTGAAAAAAAGAGAACGAACACATATTATGATATGTAGAAAAGATAATTTAAACATTTTAAACATTATCTTTTTCATTGGGAACCAGTGCAGTGCTTACTCAGAGTTCAATCTTTTCAGATGCGGGTCAGAAAGCAGGGTTTTATTGTTTAATATAATGGCAGGATTATAATTTGAAAAATATTTATAATTAGAAAGCGCTTTTAAGAAATCTTAACAGTTAATGTGTATTTTTCCCTTTCCCCTTGAATTGTTAAAATCATTTCTTTAAGTTAACAGTATGTCCTTCTCTAGCTGTTGAAACCTCTGTCCATGAGATGACCTTCAGACAGATCAAAAGAATTGCCAGGAAAGCCCGTAAGGTATTAATATTGGTGACTTTAAGCTACTGTTCAGAAATTTAGGTTATTGTGGGAGGTAACAACCTCACAAGATTATTTCAACAGGGTTACCCACAAAAGATGAAACTTTAATGACAATCCAAAAATATTCAAATATGACAAGACAAAAAGCTGAATTAAAACAAATTTATAGTGAAAAAGGATATTTTGTACACTGTACAGTCTCCTGGAAGCCTCATCCTTTGTAAATAGTTTGCAGATAATTCAAAATTAAAAAAGAAAAATTATCAACGAGCTGTTTCTTTTTTCAGTTGCTCCATATTTTGTAGAAAATATTGTTAAATTTTTCCCGAGTATGCAGTTCTATAATTTCTAGAGAATTATTATTTTGTCTGATACGCCAAAATCCTTTTTTTTTAAGACAAAAAAGATTATGATAAAATATAAAAAAATTTTAAAGAAAATATTTTAGGGAAAAACATTTTTGCATTGTAATGTTCGGTTTCATATTTGAAACCTAAGCTAAGGATTATTTGTGCAATATTTAGGGCATCTCATCTTTTTAAGTTTTTCATGAAATCAAAACTGGAAAAGTATTACATTTTTTTTGTTATTTTTTACACTGGAAAAAAAAAATTATTATTTTTAAAAACTTGGTAGTTTCAGGACAAGTTAACAGTTTTTAATTTTTGAACAATTTTTTTTCTTCAATATTTGTGTATTTTCTCTAGCTTTGATTTTGAAAAGTCATTTAGAGATCTGAGAATGAAAGTAGGACGGCCTTTAAAGGTTAACTTGATAACGTATAATATTGAATCAAGCAATAAATAATAAAACATGTTTACATAATTTCGTAATTTAAATGGCGTTTATTTTACAAGCGGAGGTTCCCCGATCCACAGCGGTAACCTTTAAACATTTGTCTATTTTAATGATCATAGTTTAAAAAAATCTAATTTCTTAATGTGATTTTTCTACTAAAGTGAATTGTGGATTTTACGTAGGGAAGACGACCGTCATTTACAGAATTAAAAACTTTACCATGATGGAAAAACGACGGTATTATCCACAATATAAAGAGTACCATTGTGAATCAGACATGTGAGGGTCGCTTGAAAGTACGGTTATTGTCCCTTTGTTTTTTCTGTTAAAATGACGTTTTAAACCCGAAGACTTAAAACTTACGCCGGAAGTGAATTCACTCATAATATATTTAGGCCGGATGTAAGTTTTACAAACGAAAAGATTGGTTTGCGGCATCACTAGAATTCGAGAAGGGGCTCAAGTTGATCAAGAATTATAGACTGAAGGTAAATATTCACAATAAAGGAAAATGTGAATTAGTATTCCCTCTTTTAAAAACCGATTTTTTTAAAAGGGAATCAAATTTTGAAGTATCATAAAGAGAATATTTCCGGATCCATGATTTTACAACATGACGCACGTATCCAAGATACGGATCCTTGCATTTTACAGGAAGGTCTAAGATCCGGATCAATGATTTTTCAGGACGTGACGTATCCAAGATACGAATCCATGATTTTACAGGACAGATCCAAGATTCGTATACATGATTTACAGGATGGTACCAAGATCCGGATCCATGATCTTACAGGACAGATCCAGAATCAGATTCATGATCACACAGAACGGATCCAAGATTTTACATTTAATCACCATATTTAAAGTACGACTACGACGCAAAAGTAGCAAATCATGTTTACAATTTCTTACAAAAACCAAGCAACGGTTTGCAGATTTTTTTCTTTGGTTTTGGTTGTTAATCATTTTAATAACAGTGTTGCTATAGTGGAAAGATACATGCTTTAAATATCATAAATAATAAATATGTCGCTATTTTCATGAGAATTTCAATGTTTTGCAACTTCGTAGAATGCATCATGGTTAATGTTTAACAATCTACTTGCATTAAATTCAGTTTTAATCCTGTCTTGTTTGCAGGGTATAATTGTCGGGTAGCGCCCTTCGTCATTAACATTCGGTAAGGGGTTTCTGAGTTAGGATTGGACAGACAAATAAGCTAACAGAGATTTTAATTTTAAATATTTAGAAAAAAGCACTGTCTGCTCATATTTACCAAAAGATCGCATATATGTTCTATCTTGGAAAGACCTACTTTATCAAAGATATCTCCAACTTTTGTTTTTCGAGTCAAGTTTTATAGAAAAATTTAAAGTAGGTGGATTAACGTGTTCCGTATTGCTAGCTCTTATCAGTATCAACATTTTTCGTTTCAAAAAAGTATTCACTACAAATGCAAATGCACAAATGATTAAGCATTAAGCTGGTCATGACTCTCATGACCCACATTGATCATTCACAATGGGGACGTACCTCGAGGAAACACTTCGAGGATACACATTTAAGACACGTGAAGAACACGCATCCAACGATACACATTGAGGACACATATTAAAAAAGCACATGTAGGAAACACATACATTGAGGACATACACGAAGACACATATTGAGGACACACATAACACATAAAGGACATACACAGAGCAAAAATATTTAGGACACACATTGAGAACACACATTGTGGACACACATTGAAGACACACATTTAGGACACACATTTAGGACACACATTGAAGACACACATTTAGGACACACATTTAGGACACACATTGAAGACATACATTTAGGGCACACATTTAGGACACACATTGAAGACACACATTGAAACAAACGAAGACATACATTGAAGACGCACATTGATGACACACATTGAAAATGCACATTGAAGACACACCTTCAGGACACACATTCAGGACACACATTGAAGACACACATTGAAGACAAACGAAGGCACACATTGAAGACACACATTGAAGACACACATTGAAGACACACATTGAAGACACACATTGAAGAAGACAAACGAAGACACACATTGAGGACAAACATTGAGGACACACATCGAGGACACACATCGAGGACACACATCGAGGACACACATCGAGGACGCACATTAAGGACACCCACTTGAGGACACGTACTTGAGGACCTGCACTTGAGGACACACACTTGAGGACACGCACTTGAGGGCACACATTTATGACATTGCAGCTTGTATATTTAATTGAGAATCGATATTTTCGATGGTGGACCACATAAATTACGTTTACTACCTGTTTTTTCGTTTAGAATGAGGAGGAACAGAAACAAATGGAGAAGTTGCTGATCAAATTGCTTTTAAATCAGGTCAATTTTACTCTCCCACCTCTCCCCTCCCCTCCCCCCAAAAAAAGATAAGTCTCAATCCATCCATAAACTAGCTTGATAAACTATTTAGTTTCTGGTCAGCTTTGTACACCTGCTAAATGAGAATTTGCATGTAGGACTTTTCCTTGTTTGTTTTTCTAACTAAGTATTGTATATAACAAAAGAATTTATTTGATCTTATATTTTTCTCGAATTAGAAATTTGCCTCTTAGGAAGTAATTTTGAAAAATACCGTCTTTTTCTTTTTTCTTCCTAAAGCTGTTCTTTCTAACAAACTAGAAAATAAATGAGTTTTATAATGAAAGAATTTGTTGTGAAGTAATGGTTTCTCTAGAATTGAAGGCTGTCAGAAGTGTTGCGAAGAATAAAAGAATAATTTGTTTTTACAACTTTTTTCTTTTAGTCTTATAGCAACGTGAAGAAATGTTATGCATTCTCTTTATTAATAAGAATGCATTACTTAAAAAATCCAGCTTGATATTTTTTTCAGTAATAAAAAACGTCAATGCCAAAATTTAAAAAATATATATTTTGTCTTCTAAGCAGGAAAAGTTAGACCACGCAACCTGGTACTTAAAACAAAACAAATTGTCACTTTTATTTAATTTACTTTAAAGCAATTTTACAAATTCAGTTTCTCAAAAGTACACGCTTTTGAACCATAAGGAACTTAAATTTTTATCCTGATGATAAAAAACCCGCTGGTAAACCCGAACTTGCCTGTCTGTGTTGCAGGAGAAATATTAAAGATATTTCCAATCAACTGCTAAAATATTTCCTTTATTTTGATAAATCTATATTCAATCCCTTATTTATCAAAGGCTGCATGTGGGCTCCGAACTGGTAAACCTGAACTTGTCTGCCTTTGTTGCAGAGAAATATTGGAGATATCTTCAACCAACTACAAAACATTCTACAGGTTTATTCTGTCAAGATCTCATCGATTAATATTTTTTTTTTGTTCATAACATGAATACAAAAAATACCCAATTTGTAAAAAAAATTCAGTTCAAAGCAAATTTCTCGTTGTTATGGACGATGTAAAAAAAAAAACATAGGAATATATTTCCTACTTTTTAGTTGTGCATTTACAGATGGAGAACACATTTTACTAATTTGGATCTGTACAGAATTGTGATTTTTTTTCTTTTTCCAGACGGTAATTGGTTGTCAAAAAAATTTCATATGATAATTCAAAGATGTACATGCCCTATACAGACCAATATTCTAGGAGTATAAAATATTAAGAATTTTATGCCCTTCTTCAGGGAGAGAAGGATTTCTTCTGATGAATTTGGAGAAAAAGACTTTTCATCAAAAGACAATTTCTTTCATCCTTTTTGATGCTTCTTGGCCCAAATTGTTTTTATTTTCCCCTAAAATGAATTTTTTTTATTTAAATGAATTTTTTTTTATGAAAAGAGAAATAATCTTTTCATTATTATCTTGTCCGCTGCAAAATTACAAAGTCATTTTTACCGAAATTTCTGAATGCATAATTATCATAATTTTTGCTCACTGTAAATGCAGGTTCACTTGTAATAAACTTGCCAGTCACACTGCTGAAAATGGACCAGGTTTCAAGTCAAAACACCTAAATTTTTTCTTTGGAATATATTAATATGCAGTCTCCTGAGTTATAATCTCAATTTTCAGAAAATGCCACCTAGGGAATAATAAGTAAATCCATTTTAAAGAAATCAAGCGCATTTTCAGGTCTTAACTCAAATGTAATTGTAGTTTTAAGCTTATTCTGTGTTTTTTTTTTTTGTGATATTTTTAGAACCGTTAATGGAAGGGTCCCCAAATTTTTTGAATTTTCCTTTTCAGTCATTAGACACGTTTTAACAAAAAATCAAAGCCTTTAGTGAACCTTTTGGCAATTATAGCCTAGTTACTGCCTAAAAAAGTGTTTTTGAAGTAAATTAGTAGGAATTACATAAAAACGACTTTTGGTCCGTATTTTGACAGTCTTAGGGGTTTGATTTTTTGATACAAAATGTTTCAGGACTTTAAGAATAATTAAAAATTTGACTTGAAACCTGAAGGCCCATTTTTAGCAGTGTGCAGTCTCCATTGATTCCTCCTGGTGAAAGCCATGTTCTTTACTAAATGTCAAAAAAGACCTTACTAGATTTAATGATTATTAACAATTACAGTACACTCAATAGAGCACAAAGTTCACACAGTCCGCCAGTGCTATAAGTATAAAATAGAATTAGGTTTAAAAGTTTTGATTTAATTCTTTATCTTAAGAATCTTAATTAGAAGGAAATCATATGCGGGTGGGTTTAGCAAACTTTTATTAACCATTCATTTTAAACTAGGCTTTCAGGACTATTCCTGACCATCTTCTATTAAATTTGGGAGCATTTTCTCTTTGTGTACATTGTAAAAGAAAAACTAAAAGAAATCTGTGGATTTTATAAAAAAAAAATCATGGATTTTAAAATTTAATGAAAAGCCAATTTTGTTGGAGGCTAATCATAGAAATTCTGATCATCCATAAATCTGCCCTATGGTCATGTGAGGTCCCACAAAAAAATTGGGCCCGATTGGTTCAGTTGAAGTTTATTGGACACAAACAAACATATAGACAAGCAAAGTGTATATTTAGATGTTGGGTTACCAATGTGAGCCTTTTGTACTGTGGTCAGCATATATATCAATACAAAATCATTTACTGAAATAGGATGTAGATAACAATGAATTATCAGTTACTGAAATTATATTATAAAACCACGTGAGTACCCTATACAATATATATGCCAACCCCTGTAGTAGAGTAAACAATTAGTAGTTTACATATCATTATATTTTTTATACAAGATGTGCTGTGGAGCCTTGGGAGGACGATGATTTAGTCGCTAGCCGTCTCTAGCTCTAAATAGTTTAGGAATTTTACTAAAAGAGACGCATTCTACATTAAAAAACTAATAAGACTTAAGTTAATTAAACTAAAGTGGCCCCGAAGCTAGAATAGGCTTAACAAAATGTCACCAAAAACGGTGAACTGACAGTGACTGAGATATTCACTTGTGAATTTTACAAGAAAATTAACGAAAATGTGACAAAATTGTTTAAGAATCTTGAGGCATAAAGTTAAGTAAATTGACCCATTACTTTTGATTTTAGGGTAATCTTAAATGGTAATTATTGTGAATATGTGGACAAACAGAATGAAACAATGATCATTTTATATTTTTCTAGAAAAAGGGCTCATTATCAAAATTCAACCTTGAATATTTTGAGAAGCGGTTAGAACACTTCACAACCTAAAAAAAAACATTTAAATTTCATTTCCCAACCTAAATCCATTGGTTTAAGCTACTTCCCAGCCCAGCACTAGTTTAAACCACTTCCAACCTAAAACTTTCAGTTTAAACCCATTCCAAATTAAGAACATTCATTTTAAACTTCCCAAACATGGCAAGTGTGTTAAATTGAATTTTCTTGGTTGGGAAGGGGTTTAAACTTAATGTTCTTGGTTTGGAACTGGTTTAAAATGAATGTTCTTAATTTGGTAGGGTTCTAAACTGAAAGTTTTAGGTTGAGAAGTGGGGTTTAACTGAAAGTATTTTTCTACACAAGCTGGAGAAAAATGTATTATCTAGAGATTCACAAAACACTAGCTCTGACTTCAAAAGGGTTTTAAATATCTCGTAATATCTGGCAATGAATCCAGTTAGGGATCTTAAGTGTGGTTGGCATGAAAAAGTATGTTAATAAGATTTTTTTTTTTTTTTTTTTTTTCTAAAATGTTTTATTTTTAGGTTTGGCCGAGCCAAGTTAATATTAGAGGTAACCTTTTTTATTATTTGACCAACATTTTTTGTATTAGGTTGTATAAATTATATAAAGGGATTTGAATTAACTTAAAATAAGGATTCTGAAAATTAAATGGGTGGATTTATAAATTATATTTTCAAAATGAGATTTTGAAAACACCTCCTGGACCTCCTGAAACTGAAAATTTCAATAGAATCCCAACCCCCCCCCCCTTATCCCATCAATGCATTTGAGTAGTTAGCTATTTCTAATTTAAGTTTTGGAAAAAATAAAAGCAAGAAATTAAGTTTGTTTAGCTTTCTTTATTTTGTAGGCACACCCAATGTGATATTTACATCACAACTAAGCTTATCTTACAACTGAAGCATAATATAGAGGACCAGCATTTTCAATACTTCTTATGAAACAATTATAGCAATAGTCCCTGAAAACATGATTTTTGTAAGCTTTTCAATTTAAAAGAAGTGATTAATCAATTTAAAAGTAGTGATTAATCAATTTTAAGAAGTGATTAATCAATTTAAAAGAAGTGTCCGGAAAGTAAAGAGGGAGAGTTGAGCTGAGAGATAAGCTTTAAGCATTATAAAAAATGTGTTAGGATTCATTTCTAAGCAGTGAAATTGTCAAGAAAGAGCGGAAATACATTTTTCCAACTTTCAAAGAAAAGGATTTTAAGAGAGATTCCTTGCTATGAATCGCAGTTTTACAATTGCAATTTTTAAAACAATTTAATGATTCCAAAGCAAAGCATAAAGAAAATTCTGCTATTAACTTTTTGCTGCAATTAGGAAAAAACTATCAGTAAAATGACAGATAGTTTAATATTATCAAAACAAATATAAATCATAATTTTCTTAAATTTTGTTATTTTCCATGAATGTGATCATAGATTTCTTAAAATTGTAAAATACTGAATACCATTTAACTGCTACCAAGTGAATCCTAATATTTTGTTCTATTATGGTACACTATGAGCTGAACTACCCCTCCTTGCTACTGCCAGTCACTCCCTTGAATCAATTTATAAATCAGGATTATGAGGCTGCAATACATCTGCTGAACAATGCAGCTAAGCTTAAACCGGGCAGTTCCAGAATATACCAAGTAAGGAATTAGAATTTTGTTAGAGAATGAAATAAAAGAACATTTGATGAAAGCATTATTAATACAATTACCATTCCAAAATAAATCTGATAAAAAATGATTGAATTATAGAATATAGTATATACTGATGATTTTGAAATAAGCTTTTTTATGATAAAAATATTTTTAAACCTAATTATTTTTAAAATATGGAAATCTAATAAAAAGTTGATAATTTATTGAATGCAAGTCTTGATGAGTTTTAAAATTAGAAATACTAAAATAAGATAATTTAAGATAGATCAATATAAAATAAAAATGTTGAAATCATAGAATACAAGTGTGCATAATAAAAAGCTTTTAAACTAAATACCTTCAATTTAATTCCCTTCCAGAATAAATCTCAACAGATATTTGCTGAGAGTAAATTAGTACAAATAGTCTACAAAGAATTAAATCTTTTTTGAGCATGAAAATAAAGAGAAGTGCCATTCAGTGTTGAGAAATTTTTAATGTTGAAGTTATGACAAAATGATTTTCAAGAATTTAGAAGTGATATAAAGACCATTTATATTTTGTCTGAAACTGTTCAGTTAAAAGTAATTTTTCTTTAAAATAACGTGATTAAAGGTATTCATAATGAAAGAATGTCTCTAACATATTGTTAATATGCTGTTGCACTATTCTCTCTAATATTAGTGAAGACATCAGATTTAGGCGTAAGCTTTTCTTTTAACTTCAGTAAAAATAAAAATAAAGAAAATATACATTCATTAATGTTAGAGGTTAGATGTAGCATATGCGGAAAAGGAGAAGAGAGAGAAGACCAAGGATAATATTCACATCATAAACTTCAGGAAATTAACAAATTTATTTTATAAATATTTTCTACATTCTTTACGAACACCAAGTGATGAAAATCTTAAAAAACGATGACATTTCAAAGTAAAATTTGGACTCGTCAGGTTGAAATACTACACTTAAAAACACATGCACAGTTTAAAGATCAGTTTTAACATAGCAGATGCCTTTCAGAGAGAGAACTGATGTCGTCTAATCCAGATTCTGAGAAGTGTTTGTAGAGTCTGGATGACATGAGAGCTCGCTAATCAACAACGTCTACAAGTGCATAATTTCTACAGCGGTAACTAGTACTGTATAGTGTATAGTGATAAAGTTTTCAATCCAACAAATAATTTCTCAATCTCTCGCACTTAACGTTTTTCTATAATTCTTAGAATTGTGGCATAAAAAAATTATCTTTATATAATATACATTATACAGTGTCCCATATCATATTGTATAATCTCCAAGCTTTAACACCAAAATACTTATAAACTATTAAAAAAAACCTGATATTTTCTGCAAGAAATTTTTCATACTAGCCTGATACATTTTCTTAATAGTCCCAAATCTAATGCTATAATCGATCTAATATGATGTCTGACACCCTGTGGCTGTATGTACAAGTCATAGCCATACTTATCATCTTTCTTTAAACTCGTCCACCTTAAACTTTTGGCCATTGCAGACTAGGGTAGATTTGAGGCAAATTCATTGTTGGTATCTTTAAAGATATCTATTGAGAAATATCGTTGTTCGTCAAACTATATCTTAAGAAGATACCATACCGATTAGGAATTTAAATTCTGTGGGGTTCAACAAAAAACAACCAATTAAAATAAAATATTAAGTTTTTATTCATATAAATAAAATGTGGTCTAATCTTGTGTCTTGTTGAATTTGTTAAGTTTTAGTGAATATAACTCTGGGTTCTCATCAGATGATGAAGAGGAGGAGGACGATATTGAGACAGATTTTGATACTGATATTGATACTGATATTGATTCTGAAGAAGACAAACCTGTAGCTTGCGTTAAAGATGTTGAACCTACGAGAGAGATGCCAGAAGAAATAAATAACCCGAAAATGCTACAGCGCCATGCATCTGTGTCAAAGTCTGAGCTTAGGTAAGTAATTAGTAATTTGTTTGGATACAATTTCAGACAGTTAAAAGTTAAAAGTGTTAACATTGAAAAAGCACTTCAGATAGTACTTAATTAAATTTAAATGAAATATCATGAGGTTCAATGAACTATCATGAGGGAGGTTGGTCGTGGCGGGATAAACAATGTTTAAAAAATAATAATAAAATATTTATGTTTTAGTCAAAGCTCCTCTGTGTATAAAACCGCTAATGAACCTGGATCAAGCATTTCCCCCCCTCGAATGGGAAAGGGAGCCAAAATCTCAATTCAAAATAGGCAGGACATTAAAGATCTGGCGCCAAGGAAAAATTCGGGTAAGCTTCCGTTACCTTAATTAAGTAAGAAGGTAAAAAGATATGTTGCCAAAAAATCGTCCCTCCACCCCCCACCTGGTTTGAAAATTTGAAAAAAAAAATATGATGGAATATTTGTGCCGAATTGATGTCCAATTTTGTTTTTGTTTTGTTTGGGGGTATATTCTATTTATATCATGGTTAAATCCTTTGTAAAACAATCTTGTGTTTTTAGGGAATTACAATTCTGATGATAGCACCACCATGTCAGATATCTCTTCGCCTGTTCCCTTCCCTGCTACATCTCTTTCCTACAACGCTCCTCCGTCCTATCCCTCTTCTCAAGCCCCATCTATTTACCCATCCTCCACACCTCCTGCCTCCTGTGCTCCATCCTACTGTCCATCATCTCCACTTCCCTCTCCTCCATCCTCCTTCTTGCTATCAGTTAATGCCCCTTCCTTTTATCCTAGTTCTTTTGTAGATTCCTTCCTCAATCCATCTCTATCAAGCACTCCCATTAGATCTTCTTCCTCAGTATCAATCACTCCCTCTCAACCTCTTCCTTTTGTATCGATCACTGAATCTCAACCATTCACTAGCTTTAACCCTCCTCCCTCTTCGCCTCCAATCTGTCCATCACAATACTCATTTCCACCAGCCTCTGCTACCCATCTACCTGCTTCATCTCAGAATATTATTTTCAAACCCTCACTCCTTGAAAGGTATTTTAGTAATTCTTTTCTTTTTTTTCATTCAATCATTTTATATACATGAACTTTGAAGTAATCTCAAAATACTTTTGTTGGCATTTTATTTCAGGGCTATTTTTTTACTTGACAAATCATTCCCCCCCTTACTAAAAACTTTGGGTTTACCGGCCCTTAACCATGTTTTCTGCATGATGTGCAAACCAATTTGTTCAAGTAAATTTATTGCTAAATTGTGATTTTTCATATTTATCACTAAACCCTCAAATAAATGTTTTAATCACATCCAGATTGAAAATCGAATAAGTTAAGAAAGATACAAGGGGAGAACTTATAAGTTAATATTAAGTATTTATTTTTATATCAGTTCCCCTGGAAGCCATGATCTAGTTCCAGTGGTAGATCAAGATGCAACAGTTGGATTTGTGGCAGAAAATACACAAGACAGAATTAAAAATATGTCTAAAAGTATTTTCGAACTAGAGAGGATAAAGATAAGAGATAACAAGAACCACGAAGTTGTGTTCGAAGAGTACTATGAAGGAAAGGATCTTGGAGAAAAAGAAGCTGGAAAGGATTTCGAGACACAGATAAAAGATTCTGAAATAGTAAGGTAATTGCACATCTCATTTTGACCAAAGAATTCTTCATTGATAAATATATTTTTTTATTTGCATTTGACATTTCTTAATTCTAAATCATAGATTTTGTGGATTCTCCTTGTTTTAGGTGAAAAACGAACCTTTATGTGACTGTCAACGTAATTTCAAGAGACCCTATGTTTTTTTAAGAAGTCAACTGCCCTTTTCACATTATTTNTTAAACCTTCCTTGGAGCGAAAATGAGAATATACTATTGCTTCTGAAAATGGATCATTTTCCTAATTGACTGGTTTCTTTAAAAGTGCGGATTTATGCCGCAGAGAGATAACAGAATATGGCACAGATAAATTAAAATTTACACCTCTGTAAATTCAATTTTGAAGTCATGATTCCACGATAAAAAAATTGTGACTTCTCTGAAATAACTTGTATTAAAAAGAACATACTGTAATTGTACTGGTTATGTTATTTCTGGTATTAAATTGATAACAATTTTAAGCACCTACCTTAAAGATTACCTCCAACTTAAAGGGTTTTATGCTGGTGTCCTGCCATTCATGGAGAGCCTACCCCCCATGTGGTTTAACTATTTCAACACAATTTGGACATTAAAAACAATTTTAAAACCTTTGAAAATATTAGTTCACACAAACTATGCTCCTGTATTTTAAAAATGCATTATTTATAGGAGAAAAGCGTAAATAAATATTTCCTCGCAAATGTCGTCTTCCTTCCAAATTATTTTCTTCAAAACATAATATTTTTAATGCCTAATCAAAGTACACGAATAAATATTGACACCGAACTCACAATATAACTCTTGCAATACCGGATAACAATTTAAAGTCGTTTTTTTTTATAGAAAAACTGCAATTAAAAATTGTTTCATTTGCCCAGACAAAGGTTATAAGTTTATCATTGTGAGCCGGGCGCGGTCATGCAAATGTGTGTTTTCAGGGATTTTAAGGATCTTGAGATAAGAGGAACTAAGTTTAAGTACAATCCTGAAACTGGAGGATGTGAATGTACCAATCTCTCTCCAATCCAAATCAACAATATATGGGTAAGAAACCTCTTAATTTATCTTTAAATATCTTTATAGAGGGGTACTTCAACAAGATAATTTATCTTGTCATAGCTGCCAACATCAAAGTCCAAATAGCGGACTGAAAATAATTACTGAGACTAATCAAGCTGATTTTTGATATCATAATGCCATCATTGGCTGCTATGTGGAAGTAAAATAGCCTAAAGGTTATAGATTTCTTGTTGTACCTACTGTACCTTAGTCCATATTCTTGGTAACATTAACTTGAAGTCACAATTAGGACATTTTCTGCACGTTAACTATTAAATTATTACTCATCTTTGAAACTCTGTAGATACTGGGGTGATAAATCACAAATTCCTACCCACCTCTTTACAAATTTTTGGTGTGAAAAAACCTCAATTTTGTGAATTTTTTAGTAGCCTATATGTAGGTTAATTCAGTGTTCACCTGGTTAATAGAAGATTGCATTGTACACTGTACACTGCACAGTGCACAGTGTATGTACACTGTACAGTGGTACAATGCCAGTGTATACTGTACGCTGGAAGACAAGTGGAAAATAGATTTTACAACATAAAAAATTATTTCAAGCTTCCTCTCTGATAAAATTATGTTTATATAAAATAATTACAAATCAAGTTTACCCCATGGAAAGAGTAGGCTGGGCTTCAAGAGATGTTCTTTAAAATAAATATAAAGTTATTGTAGACACTATGAAATAAGCGTATAATGGTTCAGGCGGAAAATGATTTTATAACCTCAATACATCTGAAAACCGTCAAATACGTTGAATAGGTTGAATAGGAAGCGCTTAAAATCATAAGAATTAAAAGTTCTCTGACAAAATTTAATCGATTTTGAAGAATTTGTGGTTTTATGTCTTCTGGATTATATTGGAATTGGAAATAAACAGATTCTTGAATAATTAAAGAAACAATGAGAGAATTTATGAAAAAAGTAAGGTTTCTCAGATTAAGCAAAAAGGAATAGATGGTAATTATTCTGTTATGATTGGATAATATTTCAGAGCCCTCGATTTAAAATCTTCGGCTCCAGTCGTAATTCCTTAAACCCGGTTTTAGGACCCAATCTTCGACCCAGCTCTAACGACAGCTTGTGTCACGTGATTGATAGCATCAAGATCTTCGGCTCGACTTAAGGAGTTAGGCCCAATGAAAATAAAACCGACCTTGGTTGGTTTAGTGAAGAATAAGGCTCAGTTGAATCTTGATCTCAGAAAACCCCTGAATGTTCCTATTCCTACCATGAAAATCCCCCAAATAGAATATTGAGCCGGTTTTTTAACTCAACTCTGTGGAAAATGAGATGCAGCTAGAATCCGAAAATACGGCTCGGGTCTAAGCTGCCGTTGGGTCTTATTTACGGCTTGAGTGTTTAGTGTTTGCTTGTATTGAATATGTAGGAAACTAATCCTTTTTTGGACGAATTTAATTTTTAATTTTATAAATTAGAAATTTTCTAAAAAATATGACTGAATCATAATATACGTGAAAGAATAAGAAGTAAACTCCAGCCCCACCTACGCCCATGTCAGTCTTGTAAAAACCAAGATATGTTGGGCTGAATGTACATAATTCGAAATAAAAGTATTTTTTCAGAAGTAATCACTATGAAATATTCCCCTATTGCTGCTCAAATATTAATTTAACGATACTGTTGTGAATAGGGTATCCCATTTTTCAAATAACTACTACTACGGTCCCTTTAAATGCTGCACTTTGATAATGGATGTGCTGGACATGCTATATTTACCTTTTTTTCTACAAAGAAAGAATGTATAATGTGTGTGTGTATAATGTATATATATATAAAAATATGTTTGTTTGTCTGTTTGTTTGTATGATCGATCATAACTTATTAGTAAAGCGTATTAGCGTACTCAATCTAGCATTTTAGTATTATTCTTGGTTGTTGATTATTTGTACGCACTGAAGTTTATCTTTGAAATTAAACCAATTACTCATCTAGTTTTTACAGATAAACTTATTAAATGTTGTTTTTATTGGTTCCGATATGGTTAGTTAGTGTCTCACCTTGTGTAGGTTTAATCTTAAATTGCCATTGTTATTACAATTCAACAATTTGAATTGGTGTTGGTATTAAAACCATTCTAGTGTGAATTTTTTTTTATCAATTTTTTCATTTCTAAGGTGGTTTGTCTGATTTACAACACTGTCCTGAAACACTTGGTCTGCTCAAGAATGAATGGGATAATCATGTTTTTGTTGTTGAAAATTGATTATTTTCAATGTAGTTTTCTATTAAAAGATATACGGATTTCTGCTTGGAAAATTTTAAGAGTCAAAACTGTTCAACCTAGAAAAACGACTACGTCTTACATATTATAGATGAGATAAAGGTCAAAAAGGAAACTGTGAATTTGAATTTGAAACTACAGTCTCATTAAAGGGATTGTTCACGTATATTCCGATAAATCTCAAGTTTTGAAATTGCATATCTCACCGCTCAATTAAAGACCTGGAGGGCCAGGATAATGATAGTTTTTATCATGATAACTATCACGTTTTCACCAGTAAATAGTATTTTTAATGGTGTAAATTGTTTTACAGGCATGACATGCACAGTCCGCAAAGTACAGCGTAACCATAATTTTGCCTCATTTGTGGCTTGTCCTTCAAGTACTTGTCCTTCAAGTACTTGTCCTTCAAGTACTCGTCTTAAAAAATGACAAACACACTCCCTTTTTGTGTAAAGAAGGAAAAGCATTTTTTAATAATTTGTGAACACTCCCTTTAATGTCACACTTTAGTTTGTCTAAGTATACGTTAGTGCTTCTAAACAAATCATTGCATAAGGTAGGCTTTCCAGCGGAAAGGGGAAATCGTTTCGCTAAAATTTCGCATTAGTTGCTAAAAAAGAAACGTTAACCGAAATTTTTTTCGCATTTTTTTTTTGCAAAAATTTCCTTTCATCTGTTACGCGAAGAAATTATTGCGGAAAAAAAATACCGAAGTTTTCACAAAAAAAAGTAACGGAAGAGATTTTTTTTGTGATAGAATAAAACCCCTAACACTGAACTCTCAGAGCAGAGAATTCCACAAGTTTGGTAACGCAATTAACTGTTGCAAAATTTTCGCTTTTTTTGCTTTATTAATTTTTGCAAAAAATGGTGCGAAATGAAAACGAAAATTTTCGCAGTTTTCCACGAACGGTTTTGTTACCAACTAATTATTGATTAATGTATCCAGTAAAGTTGAGGGATAAATTTAATATCCTTTTCTTTCCTTTTATTCATTCTAAAAAATACCTCTTCTTTTTGCAAAATTTACGAAATCCCCCTCCCCCCCTAGCCTAACTGCAGTGCTCGATCTAGATATAGCTGAAGCCTAACCAAAGTATTGACATTTTATGATTTTCAAAAAAATATTTAGAGGTTATTTAAGGGTGCCACGTTGGTGTTTTTATTTTGTTTGGGGGGGGGGGTTTAATGTTTTGATTCAAGAATTATCAAAATATTTTTACGAAGTAATAATTTAGAAAAAAGTGAAGTAAACTGTCGATTTTAATAAGAAATTATTCATGAGAGTCCATGGAAAATGATTATGAACCATACCTCCTAACTTGTTAATAAGGTTTATTTAGCATTTCTTAAAACTTGTATTATTAGTTGTGAACAATATTTTTGGAAGTCTTAACTTATTATCTTTTGATATATTTTCTTATTAAAGTATTCATCGATTCTTAATTTTATAAAGATTTAAAATGTAGTTGGTTTTAACTAAAACATTATTCATAAAATATTTCTTTGAACACAAATCTTGAACTGTGGCGGCGTAGTGGCGGAAGACGAAGTTCTGGAGGAGTTTTAAAACCGAATATCAAGACGCGGCAGGTTGAGCAGTTTCCGGCCACGTCAT